CAAAAAGTACTCAAAAACAGATACATTAGACACATGTGATGTTTGTACTAAAATATTTCTTAGAATGTCAATAATACGTCTCGAAAAACGATAAACTTAAAAAAGTCATGAATAAAAATTTTGATGGTAGATTTTAATTTATATAGTATGAAAATTATTAAACGAAATACATTTATTTTATTTCATATCATTATGCGATTAATATTTTAGCTCATTCCGACCAATAGATGGTGTTGAGACACCAGTCAAGCCACACTATATTAACAAAAGACAAAATCGGGAGAGAGGGAGAGAGAGCGAGACGATGAGAGAAACAATAATGCAACTCAACAGCCATCCATTGCGCATGAGATCTTCATTGACAAAATCTCTGAGTAAAAAAAGCATTGGGAGCTCTTGTAAAATATTATATCGATTGTTGTTAACAACATGTCCGTCACATTGTATTGAATATTCTGCAGTATTTTTGCAAAACAAAATGAAAGTAAATTCATTACGATTCCGACCTTTCGTTTTATTTTGTGTTTACCTCTGAATGCAGTGTATTTGGTATTTTAAATCGTCAAATGATTTCTTATTACATGTTTATCTGCATTGAATGTTTGTGTTTAATCAAAAAAGTTTGATGGTACGGCCAATTAAATGGTGTAGTTGATTTGTTTTCAAATAAGGTCACTCATTTTTGGATTCATTGACAAAAATAAACACATTTTGAATAAAGTTCAAGTTCGTCGCAAAAATATATAATTAACACCGATCGCGTTCAAAATACATCATTTAAATCTATCAAAAAATAGTGATTTAATCTTCGGAACTATCATATAATGATACAAATGAAGTTTATACGTGAATAATGAGAAACAATCAATCAATTTTATTAATTATTTATTATTGAATAGATATGAATTCGTTTCGCAAGCTGAATAAGTAATTATGCTGATGCAAAAGAAAAAAAATCAAATACAATTAATATTATTGTACAGACTATGCAAATAAAAAAGAATTTGAATACATTTTCGTGTTTTGTATTTTAAAATGTTATTTTGTTAGAGTGTTTAATTTTTTGTATATTGTTGTTCTTTCATTTGAATTCCAGTTTACTTAAATATTTTGCTTCTTCTTATTTTTGTTTATAAAGTGCTTTTATAATTTTTGTATGCCAGGAGTTGCTTTCCTAACCACCGACACTTCCAGTGTATCATATAGTTTGAATAAATATATTTCCGTCAATCGTTCAAAATTCGAAAAATGTGAATCATTTCAATAAAGTTTTTTCGATTGTATTGAGTTTCACAGTATTTTCCACCCAAAAGTAAAGTACATGTTCAAATGATTCTTTTTATAAAAGAATTTTAGTTGTGTAAAAAAAAAATAAGTAGAACATCTTATATCCGTGTATTTCTAATAAAACATTGTGAACTTCACGCATCCAAGTATTGAAAGCTAAAATAATAGGACTTATTTAAGGTTAATCTTCAACATTCCACTTCGAATTTTAGCTATATCCATGCACCGATGTGCGAGAGAAATTGACCGTTACAGCGTTTGTCTGAGTCGTTGAGAGAAGAAATTAAAGAATGTTAAATCTTGATAGTGTATGCATTTATTTTAAAATGGATATAAATAAATAGTGAAAATTGATTATTTCTTGTGAGAAAAAAAAAAGAATTGTGGTGAATATAGTTCTTTTTACCGTGAAACTAAGTAATAAAACCAAAATTCAAGAAATTTTTAGTAGCTATTGGATAAACATTTCTAAAGTAAGTAAAACAAAAATAATGAATGAGTTTAAAGATTCACCTGAGTTGTCGTCAATCAGAAATACAATATATCCTTTATACGCAACAACGAGTCATTCATACACTAGATTTGTTATTTGATTGGTCCCATCTCCCCGCTTTATGCTCTCTGATTGCTCTCCCCGCTTTATGCTCACTATTTTTTACACAAAAAAATAACATTTTGAAAGTTTGAGAGATTTCAATCAAAATTAGGGGTACCTCCCATACAAAATTTTTGGCTCAAAAACGAATATTTTGTATGGGAGGTACTCTTAATTTTGGATGAAATTTCTCCAAACCCTCTGAATGTTATTTTTTTTGAGAAAAATAACCTGTACAAAGTTTCACGCCATTAAGGTAGCATAGAGACATGGCTCCCATTCAAAAATAATGTTTATAGGCTATAAATTATAGCAAAATTAACGTCAGACATATTTTTTATAGTGTTTTGTTAGAAAATAAAATACTTTCAAATGTCGTACAAATGATAGTGTGAAAAATCTTTTGCGAGTACTTCTGCTATTAAATTAAAGAATATTTCGATGCCGAAAATATAAAGCTTAGTAGAATACGCATCTACAACCGTGCGGAAAAGTTCGTCTTACTCCTGTAAGACTCTTTATTGGGTGTTTCGATTAATTTCCGGCATTTTTTTGGTGAAAATGAATTGACTAAAATAAAATTGAAAGAAAATGTCATTCAAAGTATTGTCAATCGCAAGCCACTACTTTTTTCCATATTTTAGTCAAAAGACGAAAATCGGGTCGAAATAATTCTTCGTCCTTTGAGGTTATGTATTCATCGACCCATTTTTTAACTATTCCATAAATAGAGAGCTGCCAAACAGACACACGACGTTTAATCAATCCAAGTGGGTACAATTTGGAAAGGGCAATGTCCGTTGACCATGCGGGGGAGAAAAAGACGTTTCTTTCCAACTGCGTTTTTCTTATAAGTTTAAAACACTTCTTTTGAAGTTCTCACTGTGACGCAATACTGCACATCAAATCTGAAAATGATCTGATATAAATTTTCAGTGACGCTTGCAATCAAATACACAAACAATTTTTATATTGCGTTGCCTCT